GCGGTTTCTCAGGCGCGCACCGAGACATGAGACTGGGTCTAGTGCTGTAGAAAAGGACGTTGAGTCGCCCAACCCAGCCTCATCTACGTTAATTATTGCTCACCTTCACTGAGCCCCTCACCTGTATCCCAGAGAACAATGACGCCCTCTGGAGCCCACAATACTGGCTGGGGACCATTCAAGACAAGTCTGACGGCCTCCCCCTGAGAGGCGCATTGAAACCCAGCTCTCATCGGCGTTAGGAGGAATTGTGGCTGCTCAAAGGAAGGTGCTCATGTCTAGAAGACGGTTGCTACAAAGCAAGTCAAGGCTCTTAGTACAATATTCTGCCTTTCTAAAGCATCTAACGGAGGATGGCGAAGAACATGATTAATTAACTACGCTCAATGCACTCTTGAGGCACAGGGAGGAGAAATGACTTGCACGAGGTCACAGAGCCGAGACAAGACCCAGGGGACCTAACACCTATCCTAGGTTTAACTACTAAATCACTCTCACTCCACCCCACTCTCCTGGGCTCAGGGAACTGATTGCATCACTTCCAGAAAATACACTCAGATTGTGCTTCTTTGCTCGACCTGCAAGCTGCCCTTTCCACTGACCAATCCCACAGTAAAGAGCAGGCAGGGCCCGACCCCAGGGATGGAATTGCAGATCTCCTTCACGCTGGGACTAACCAAGTCCTGCTGCACGTTGGCTCCCCACACACTGCTCCTGACTGAGTGGTGGGGAAGCAAGAGGGCTTAACTGTGCTGTGGTCATGCAGGAGTAGCCCATGTTACAGAGCTGGGAGTGCTCAAGGATTCACCCCCCGAGAACATGGGTCACTGTTTGCAAGTTGGCTGGGATAGCACTGGCTGGGAAGGGCCCACAGGCGCATAATATTTAAAATAATAATAAGCTGCATCAGCCCTGCTATCCCGACACCCCTTTGGGCTTCCTTGCAGACCCGTCCTCCAGGGCAACTTGCTCCCAGAGAGGATGGGCAGCACAGGGAGCCGGGGCATGGACGCTACTATGGTTCAGGGTAAAGCAACCTGGCTTCACTCTTCCATCTGCTTTCCTAGCTGTGTGCATCAACACCGGTGTGCTCTGTGGTAGCTCTAGAAAGGGAGGAGAGGCCGCAAAGAGCAATGGACCAAGGCAGAGAGAAGTTTGGAGCTGGTTCCAGAGCTGCAGTGAGCTCAGTGCCAGAGGATCAGCCCCAGAGAAGCCAGACTCATGTTTAGCCTCAGACACTGGGCTGGCCAGAAAACCACTCCGCTTTGCAAGACATTTTGAGGGTTCGAATTTTGGTTTCTTTCCAATTCTGAGTGTAAATGAGCCCCTTCTAAACTGGCAGTTGGGGACTTGATTGGGCTGTGGAACAGCTGTTTTCAAACCCCAGTTCTGCCCGATTCTCCCGGCTGCTAGATGAGGGGTACTGGCTGCTCTGGGGTAGGTCTCTCACTCGCTTTCAGATCTAGCTACACCCTGGAGCCGAGAAACCTTCCCAACAACATTTCAATACGTTTCCTTGGAGCATTCGATTATTCAATGGAAAAAAGTTTAATTGAATGTTGTTGTCCGGCTTTACCCAGCCTGGGAGAGCACAGCAGGCCCTTGCATAGTTCGAACGGACACGTCAGAATGGCTGGGGGTGGGGGGTGCCACTCTGAATTGCTCGCCCCTTCCCTGATTGGGAGCCAACCCCCCCCCCCATGCTCAGACTGGCCCTCTCGGCCCTCACCCCTTAGAAATTCTTTCCTTAAAAACATAAAATAAAAACCCTTTCCTACCAGACCCACTTTATGTCTGCTTGGGGGCCCCGGGCTACCCGCTCCCTGGGCTGGTGCCCAACCCTCCCTGCCCAATTCCCTTGGGCACTATGGTCCCAGACGGAGCTCACCTGTCCCAGTTGCTGGTGTAGCATTGCCAGTCCCAAGTGGTCAAAGTTCATGAGATGGGCCCTAAGCAATCCTGAGATTAGAATAAATGCTCAGTGCTGGGTCTGTCTCTGCCTGCTAGCAGGGCGCCTTTGAGGTCCCCTTTCACAGCTTTTTGGGGTCTCTCTCCATGGCTTTAGGGTGACCTGTCACAATGCTTCTCCACAGATAAGAGCTAGGAATTGCACCTTTGTTTTTGGTTTTGTTGTTAGGAAAGCCCAGATTCTCTCATAATCCCAGCACTCCAGAAGCTGGGGCTTTAAAAAAAAAACACCCGATATTGTGAGACTCGCAATGAACTCATGAGCTGGTAACACAGTTTAAAGCTCGAGGTTTGTTCCCACCCACGGCTCCCAGCGCCAGGCCCAGCAGAGGCAGACTCCGCAGGACCTCAAAGGGCTTTGCAGCATTACTGAAGGAGGGCTCCTCACCCAGCTCTGTAGCACCTCAGGCGCCTGGCTGGCTGGAGTGACGACAGGGGCAGATGGGGACGGGGAGTTCACTCTGCCCAGCAGCAGGACCAGTCAAAGCTAAAAGGAAATGCAGGAAAGTGCCTGGGGAATGTAACGCCACCAGCCTTCACCCTGGAGGAGGAGGAGGTATGCAGCACCAATTCCCTGCTCTATCGCACAGCACCTTGCAGGGTGCTGCAGATGGGATCTGGGAGAAGTGACCCCCCCACGAGGAGTCCCCTAACTCCTCCTTCCCAATCCCACTGGCTCCTCCCCCACGACACAAAGGGATGATTTGTTCCCAGGTAACCAGGAACTTTGTTCCGAGCAGTCGGCAAACCCAGGTCCAGATTGCTCTGGGGGCAGGGGTAGATCAGAGCTCACCACCGCCCAGCATCCAGGCCTGGAGCCTTCAAATCTCCCTGGCTGGCAGGGTGAGCCTGAGGCACACTGAGCCCATCGTGTCCTGCAGGACAGCGCAGCATTGCCTGCGTGAACCAGCCAGACGGGGGCGCTGCCTGCAGCTGGTTCGCTACGTGGAGCTCGCGGGACGTTGTTTGAGGGCTCTCTGATGCTCCCCCGCATGGGGTCTCTGCACAAGCACACCCAGAGCTATTCCAAAGGAAAATATTTGTGTGCAGCAATCAGAGACACAATGATAATACAACCCCCCTCCTCACCCCTCTGGTGCTTCACTCAGGAATTCCGCCAAGGCCTCACTTTGCATTTCCATGCCCTGAGCTGCAGGTTACGACAGGACAGAGGCAAACATGGGCTCATGCCACCAACCCACGCCAGGGGCTGCGCTTTGATAGTCTCTCAGGCACTGGCGATACTGTGTGATGGGTGAAGGACGGGCTTTGCCTCCTCGACCATCTTTCATCCCTCCACTCCCCAGAGACGACCTAGGAAATATTCCAAATCGCTTGTCACCCTGCCCTGGAGGTTTCCTGTAGTTCTCTCCCCGCATTATTTGTTACTAAGGACAACAGCGTGAGAGAGAATCTTGCATCATCATCATTCACCCCACTCCCCCAAGTCAGCAGCAACTTTCGCACCGCGGCACCTGCTGGTTGCTGGGGAGATGATTATGATGCCCCAGATCGGCTGATGCCCGATCTCAGGCAGGGAATCAGGAGCAGGTACAGCTGCGCTCTCCAAATGCAAGGATCTGGCTCCACACAGGAGTCCTTCGGCATACAGAGCATAGGAGAGGAACGGAAAAGCTGTCCCTCCTCAGCCTCTCTGGGATGTTTCCCAGGAACGGCCAATGAAGGTAACCTCCACAGCAGACGTGATCCATTGTTGCTGGCAGAGCAGCCCAGACCCAAGAGATGGACTGCAGTATGGGTGGATGCGTTCCTGCCACATTTAGGACCAAACATCGATAAAACAGCCCCTTCCCTTCAGCTGTAAAAATGCCTCACCTTTGGAATCACCTGTATTGGTGATTTCCTCCCTCTTCCCCGGCTCTGTTTTACACTCTAGATGGGTCCAGCCTCACGGGTGTCTCCTGCCATCTCAGCTAGACTGTGATCTTCTACAATAGTTTCCCATGCAATAACTGTGTAAGTGACAAGGTGATCACTGCTTTCCTCTTTGCCTTGCACTGGTGATTACGTTATATGCTCTACTGCAACTGGTTCTCCTCTTGCTTACGCTGGTGTAAATCTGAGCTAGTCCAGTGAAGCCACCAGGACTACCCTAGTGTACAAGTGTAAGGGAGAGCGGGAACAAGCCCTTTTACTTGCGCACTACGACAATTAGCTGCTACCACTATACAATGAATTGATGCTGTTGTGAGCAACAGGCACCCAGCTCCTGGGGGTGCCCCATGTAGGCTGCACTAGTACTGGAAGTTACTGGTCACTACTTGTGGGTGAGTGCTCAGAATACATAAAGAACCTAATTGAGCAGCTCCCCAGCTGGCGTAAGTTGGCACAGCCCCTTTGATTTCAATGGTGTTTGGGTTTTGACAGCAATTGAGGCCCACAGTTTCTAATCTTTGAGACATGAGACAAAAAGATGAATCCCTGAATGGCGAACCCCAACGGCCCCTATATCTCCATCCTCCACTGCGGCAGAGAGGAAGCAAGTGTTCATGGCAGAGCTATAATGAAAGTGCTTCCGAGTTTATTTTTCTTTTACTCCAAAGTAGCTCTTGGCCATTAATTCGACTTACAGGGCTGGAGGTGAAAGCTATGAGTTACTTGTTAAATATGACACCCTTGGGATTCTGGTACGCTGCCACCGGCACCCTCCATCCTACTCTTTCTGGTCCTTGCTGCTCAGTCGTGGTATCTACACCACAGGTGGGTCATTGCTTGACTTTTTTATTGCTATTTTCAACATAACTTTGGAATTCCAACTTAAGTTCTCCTGCCAGACACCATCATTACTGATGCAAGGTGGGCTGTAGCAGCCGGAAGATGGACTGTAAAAAGCTGGAGGAAGAGAACCCTAGATCTGGAAGCTGGGCTGGACGGCTGGAGGGGAACAGCCAAAATTGCAACAGGCTGACTGACAAACTCAGCAAGATGAAATTGCTAAAAGACACACACACACACACACACACACACACACACACACACACACACACA